AGAGACAAATTATTTTTAGTAAAATTTTTTTAATTTTTAAATTAAAATATCTCAACAACTAATTAATCAAATTTGCTTAAATTTGATAAGATAGTTGCTAAGATATTTAAGCCTAAAGTCAAGAAAACTTTTACTTAAAAAAAATTTGTTCTTTTTCTATTAACTCCACCTCATGTATTCATTATTTATTTATTAATTTTAAACTAACTATTTTTTTTTTTAGCTTTTTGACAGTCTTGTCAAAGCTCAAATACAATACTTTATTAAACAAACTTGGACAGAATACATAATGATAGTATAGAAAATTACAAGCCTAACATCACCTAGCTGCCCAAGAGCAACTTGTCGCACCAATCTACATGTAAGTTAGAAGACCTTGTCAGCCTGCCAAGAGCCTATCTCTTCATTCTTACTTTCTTTATTGAGAGCAAAAGAAAACAATGTTCTGTATTCTCAATACTAGAACATATATCAAGAAAAAAAAAGGGTTTATAAACAAAAAGAAACAAAAACAAGAAAGAGAAAATAATAAGAAATAAAAATAAGGGAAATGGAAAATGTAAAAAAAGAAAAAACAAAGAGATAAACCCTAACAGGCTAAACAAGAAAAAGCTATCTTCCGTAAGAAATAGCAGCTATCTCTATCAAGAAGTAGTACAAAAATGAATATAAAAAAAAAGAAAAAGAGTGTGTACTATTATAACTTGTGTCAGACAAGTATAAAAATTATATAACAAATACAACATTTGTATATCTCTACTGTAAAGCTTCGTCTTAACGTTAGTATTCCTTTCTGAACATACGACCGACTCTAGAATATTTGGTTTCAACCTAATCCATATCTCGAGCCAGGTGCTGCCGCCATCCGTAGACCCATATCTCAAGCCACTTGCTACCACAATTAGAATCCGAGACCTGTCCAAATTAGTAGCACCATATCTATCGAACACATGGTTGTAATCTACTCGGCTTTCTGAATTTGGGATGTAAACAATGTTGAAGGGGGTAAGCCAAATCCCCACTTTTTATTCAAAAAAAATTTTTAAGAATGGCGAGAGTTATGGAAGAAAATTTTATAGGTAAAGAACAACCACTTGCTAAACTTGTAAGAAGTGTGTTGAAAAATAAAGACTTTTGTTGTTCTTCTTGTCTTTTCTGTTTAACTCTTAAGAGACTTTGTCAACAGAAACCCTCCTTTTCAAGATACCGTTTCCACCAAAATTTTCTGTATAAAGGCACTCCTTGCCAGTTATCTTGTACCAAAATGCTTTTGGCTTGCATGCCAAATATGTAAAAGAGTTGTGAGAGAGTGTGAAAGCAGTAACCTCTACAAAAACTACCTCATTAGAATACAAAGCAATGTTATCTCCAACAAAATTTTTATTTTTCTTTGGGCAGAAAATTTGGGGCAAGTGATCGTTGATTTAAACCAACTATTTTTTTTTTAGCTCTTTGACAGTCTTGCCAGAGCTCAAATACAATATTTTATTAAACAAACTTGGACAGAATGAATAATGACAGTATAGAAAATTGCAAGCCTAACATCACTTAGCTGCATCTAGTGTGCCCAAGAGCAATGTGTCGCAGAACCTATATATAAGTTAGAAGACTTTGTCAGCCTGCCAAGAGCCTATTCCTTCATCCTTACTTTCTTTACCAAGAGCAAAAGAAAATAATGTTCCATATTCTCAATACTAGAATTTATATCAAGAAGAAAAAGAGTTTATGTACAAAAAAGAAACAAAACAAGAAAAAAATAATAATAAGAAATAAAAATAGAGAAAATAGAAAATATAAAAAAAAAAAAACAAAAAGATAAGCCCTAACAGGCTAAATAAGAAAATGCTATCTCCTGTAAGAAATAGCAGCCACCTCTATCAAGAAGTAGTACAAAAATGAACAAAAAAAAAAAAAAAAGTGTACTATTATAACCTGTGCTAGGCGAGTATAAAAATTATATAACAAATACAACATTTGTATATTTCTACTGTAAAGCTTTGTCCTAACATTAGTATTTTTTTCCAACTATATGACTGACTTCGGGATATTTGGTTCTGATCTAATCTGTATCTTGAGCCAGGTGCTGCCGCTATCTGTAGACCTGTATCTCAAGCTACCTGCTGCCACTATTAGAACTCGGAACCTGTTCAAATTAGTAGTACTGTATCTGTTAAATACATAGTTGTAATCTACTTGGCTTTTTAAATTTGGAATATAAACAATGTTGATCTTTTGGAGGGGGTAAGCCAAATTCCCACTTTTTATCCAACAAAAAATTTTAAGAACAGCAAGAGTTATGGGAGATAATTTTAATAGTAAAGAGCAACCACTTGCAAAACTAGTAAGAAGTGTGTTAAAAAATAAAAACTTTTGTTGTTCTTCTTGTCTTTTCTGTTTGACTCTTAAGAAACTTAGTCAACAGAAACCCTCCTCTCTAGGACACTATCTCCACCAAAATTTTCTATACAAGGGCACTCCTGCCAGTTATCTTGTACCAAAACGCTTTTGGCTTGCATGCCGAATATATAAAGGAGTTGAGAGAGTAGTAAAAATGTGACCTCTACAAAAACCACCTCGTCAAAATACAAAGCAACATTATCTCCAACAAAATTTTTATTTTTCTTTGGGCGGAAAATTTGAGACAAGTAATTATCAGAAAGAGTTATATTGAATTTTCCTTTAAACCAACTATTATCATACTATATTAAGAATTTAACTATATATTATAGTACTATAGTACAATATTAAAAATCTAGCACTAACTAATATAAAATTAAACTTTCATGCTATATTCAAATTTACCAAACTCTTGCACTATGTTACAAATCTACCAAACTCTTGTGCTATATTACAAATTTACAAAACTTATATTACATCCTAAATCTTGTACTATATTTATTCTGAATATATCAACTCTAATACTATATTCATCCCAAATCTACCTATCTAACTATCATGCAATATTCATTCCAACTATCATACTAAGCCTTTCTAATTATTGTACTATATTTATTTCTTACTATTATACTATGTTTCTCTTGAATTTGCCTAAATATCATGCTATAATTATTCTACTATTATACTATATTTATTCCAACTATCATGCTATGTTTGTCTTAACTATTATATTATATTTATTCTAACTTTTGCTATATTCTAACTAATGTACTATATTTACCCCAATTATTGTATTATACTTGTTCCAACTCTTATGCTATACTCATTTAGCTATAATACTATACTTGCTCAACTATCATACTATATTTGTCCCTAATTTATCTATCAAACTATGTTTGTTCTAACTATTGTGCTATATATATTTTTAATACATGCTATATTTGTCTTAGCTATCATGCTAAGTTTGTCTCTATATTTATACTATGTAGATTATTTAACTCAATACTTTGCTTGCAAGTTTCTAAAAATAAACAATAATCTAAAAGGTTATTTAGTACATGTTTTTATTTCTTTTTACTTAACAATATGCAAAAAATAACCATAATTTTATGTTCTTATTTACCTTTTTGAGAACAACTTACTATGTGGGATTATTTGGAATTATTAAAATTCATTGCTTTTACTATCTGTTCATATATCATTTAGCAATGAATAGATAAATAAAATCTTGTAAAACCCTAGCATGAATATGTGCATGTGTAATGACCAATCAAATACACGAACCAGTTTGTAAATCCTTCTAAAACAAGATTTTCAAATTTGGTATATCCCTGAACTATAGTATAATAAAAAATTAATTTAATTAATTTCAAAAATGTGGCAAAATAATATTAATACTCAGTAATATTACTATAGTAGTTTATTATTAAAAATGTGTATATTTTATTTTTTCAAAGTACTCACAACCCAATTAATCATTTACATTTGTATAAAAAATATATATTCTAAGCATGGTTTTGTTGTGAAAGAACTCATTTGATCTTCATTATGTGTACATAGGATATAGTTAAAAAAATACAACTATCTATCTAATTTGATATAGAAAAATAATTTTATAAAACATACTGTATTCCTCCGATATGTACCCCTGTAATAGTTTGAGAGGCCAAATTTTGATTTATACCCGGTAGAGTTCTGCAATTTGATTTGTTTTGATTCGATCAAATATTTGATCTCAAATCAAATTCAAATCATAGTTAAATTTGATTTGATCAAATTCAAAATAAACAATATTTGATTTAATTTGATTATCAAATATTTGATTTGATTTAATCGATTTGAATTGATTTGAAATATCCAAATAGCTGTCAAGCATCTTCGAGTTGTAATAATGCAGTCCAAAACTTCATAGTTTTGGATTAACTAAAATTGAAACTGATATTGCCAGCTTCAGGCATTATTCTCCAAGCCAAAACTTGCCCAAACTTAACCAAAAGTCCGAAACTTCTAAACTATATTGAAACTCCTAAACTATACCGAAACTCTAATTTTCTGATGATCACTTTCCTGATACCAGCACTTTCCCAACAATCTTTCTCAAAAACTACCATTTCTCTAAAAATCCCTTCTCAACTGTTTCCCCAAAACGGGTCCATGTCACTTGCCCTACAACAATTTGTTCGACAGCTATTTTTTTAATAATATTCTTAAAAATATTACCAAAAAAATAGCTGTCAGACAAATTGTTGTAGGGCAAGTGACATGGACCCCCCCAAAACCCCACAACTACTTACCCTGACAACTATTACTGATAATCACTTCCCCAACAACCACCCATCCCTTACACAAGCATTTATGCACCTGATAACCATTTACCTAACAATTACTCTCCCCAATAACAACTCTTTTTCCCTGACTCCACTCTTCCCCGATACTATTACTTCCCAGCACTGTTATTTTCCTGATACAAATACTTTCCAAAAATACTCTTCCACAACCTTCTGTTCCCAACCACGATCTTAATTCATCTTCTTTTCCTGATATAAGTGGTTAATTTAAAAAAAAATAACTATAAAATAAAAATAACATCATTAAGTTTAAAAAATAATAATAATAATAATAAAGTAAATTAAATAAATAAATAAATTAGCAAATTTCACATAATTTTGCAAATCGCAATAAATTAAAAAAAATTAAATTAAATTAGTTAATTTTTTGGTTCTTATAACCTGGCCGGTCTATTAAATCCGAGAAGACTAAAATTTATAATCAATGTTTTGTATATAAATTTTCAGAAATCAAAGTTATAAGAATTATAAATCAGCACAAATAAGAAATTAATATAGATGCATAGATTATTTCTTTATAAATAATAATGGAATCAACTTGAATAAAAGATTGTTCATCAACCAAATCAGCATGAGCGATAAACTAGTAAAACTAATATGATGTGTATACATTGCTTTCGAATACTTTGATTAACAATTATTTTATATTTTCCATTTAAATTAGCCTAATAAGTGACTTAACGTTAATGAGAAATGGTAGATAACTAGTTTATCCGAGCACTCGAAAAATGTGTACCGGGTTGGGTTCGGATGATGGTCCGGAAAATGTCTTCGAATTTTTACGTTTTTTTTTTCTTTTACTAAGACTTTATTTTTCAATTATAGCGATAATATAAAGCAATATTTAATACAATTTACAACACATATCTAA